GGAGGAGGAGGAGGAGGAGGATACCGAGGCGGAGGCGGAGGCGGAGGAGGATGAGGATGATGAGGAGACGGAGGAGGCGGAGGAGGCGGAGGAGGAGGAAGCGGAGGAGGAGGATGAGGAGGAGGAGGTGGTGGAAGAAGAAGAAGAAGCTGACGAATACTAATACGACGGGTACGGACACTAACAATAATACGATTCATACTATTAAGGCTAAGAGTACTGCGACTACTAAGACGAAGACGACGAATACGAATACTAATGCGACTACTTCTAAGACTAGTAATAGTACTAAGACGAAGACGAAGACGACTAAGACGAATACTGATACTACTAAGACGAAAAAGAAGACGAATCAGACGAAGACGACTGATACTAATATTACTAATACTAAGAATATGAATGCAATTATTCTTTAAATAATAATACTAATAATACGCATACTACTAATCAGAAGAATATTAAGACGAGGGGGAGGAGGATGATGAGGCTGGGGAAGGAGGAGGAGGCGGAGGAGGAGGAGGAGGCTGATGAGGAGGAGGAGGAGGAGGAGGCGGAGGCGGAGGAGGAGAAGGGGAGGAGGAGGAGGAGGAGGAGGAGGAGGCGGAGGAGGCGGACGAGGCGGAGGAGGAGGAGGATGAGGACGAGCAGGATGAGGAGGAGGAGGCGAGGAGGCGGAGGCGGAGGAGAAGGAGGGGGAGGAGGATGAGGAGGAGGCGGAGGAGGCGGAGGAGGAGGATGATGTGGAGGAGGAGGAGGAAGAAGACGACGAAACACAATACTACTAAGGAGACGGATAAGAAGAATACTAATACGACGAACAAGAACAAACCTAATCACAATAACAGTGATAATTCGACCGACGGAGAAGACGAATACTACTGCCACTACGAATAATACTAAGATGAATACTATGACGACGACGACGACTAATAAGACTATTAAGGCGAATAAGAAGACGAACCAGAAGAACACGAATGATACTAATAATAAGCATGATTGTAATACTATTAATATTACTAATACTAATAATATCAGTAAGAAGACTAATCAATTATACTAATACTACTAATAAGAAGAACACGAAGAGGAGGAGGAGGATGAGGAGGAGGAGGAGGATGATGGGGGAGGAGGAGGAGGCGGAGGCGGAGGAGGCGGAGGCGGAGAAGGAGGAGGAGGAGGAGGAGACGGAGGACGCCTTGAGCGGGAGTGGCCATGGAGGGAGGATTCAGGAGGAAGAAGGGGAGGAGAAAGATGGGGAAGAGGAGGAGGAGGAGGAGGAGGATGAGGAGGAGGAGAGGAGGAGGGAGGCGGAGGCGGAGGGAGGAGGAGGAGGAGGATGATGATGAGAGGAGGAGGAGGAGGAAGAGGAGGGAGGAGGAGGAGGAGGAGAAGGACGGAGGAGGAGGAGAGGAGACGATGATGAGGCGGAGAGCAGGAGGAGGAGGAGGAGGAGGAGCAGACGAGAAGAAGAGGGGGATGAGGAGGAGGAAGGAGGAGGAGGAGGAGGAGGAGGAGGAGGAGAAGGAGGGGAGGAGGAGGAGAGGAGAGGGGAGGAGGAGAGAGGAGGGAGGGAGGGGGGGGGGGGGGGGGAGGAGGTGGAAGAGGAGGAGGTGGAGGAGGCGGAGGAGAAGGAGTCGGAGGAGGAGGAGGGTGTCCTCGCTTGAGGAGGGGGATGAGGAGCATCTCCTCGTTGAAAGGCCGTGGAGAAGGGCTGGACCGCGGTCTACACGCGGTCGGTCGAGAGTAGGCTGTCGCGCGTGCACGTGCTCACAGGCACCCTGGGGACGCCCTGCGCCCTGAGGAGAAGAAGTGGCAGTGGGGAGGAGGAAGAAGAGGAGGACGACCGAAGAGGAGGAGGAGAAGGAGGAGGAGCAGGAGGAGGAGGAGGAGGAGGATGGAAGAAGACGAGGAGGCGAAGGAGGAGGAGGATGAGGAGGACGAGGTTGATGATGATGATGATGATGATGCTGATGATGATGATGATGATGCTGATGATGATGTTGATGATGATGATGATGATGCTGATGATGATGATGGGTGTGGTGGTGGTGCTGTTGATGATGATGGTGGTGATTGTGGTGATGGTGATTGATGATGAGGAGGAGGAGGAGGAAGAGGATAACACGGAGGAGGCTTAAGAGCAGGAGGAGGATCACGAGACGGATTAGGACACGTTTGTCGTTAGCCGTTGACATCCAACGTCTCCAGCACACTATGCATTGTTGCGTTTGTTAGTATAGGCTGTGTGTTTGCTTTGGTTTGTTTTGGTTTGGTTTGTCCTGTTTGCGTTGCCACTCTTTGTGGGGGTTCGTAATTTCGCGTTTTGTGTGGCACCATTTCTATCGAATAACTCTTGTTGGCCGACGGAAGACTGACAGAGCAGTGCGCTCTCGCTCGAGCGGGGGATACGTCAATGTTCTTTGACATCGATGCTCACACTTGAGCGCGGGCTTCATTCCGACTGTGTGTCCTTGGCCCCCGAGTAACAGCAACCATTGCTCCCGCCTGAGATTTCCTCGCAACTTATTCAGGACTCCCGCTCCCGCACGAGCCGTGCTCGCGCTTTACTCAGGAATCGCGCTGTTGCCTGGGACTTCCCTGCCGTTTAGTGCGAGCCCTTGACGGAAATGCGTCGGGAGAGGTGTTGGCTCGACCTCCTTGGGCGGGAGACCTGGGGGATAATGTCGGCCTGTTCCGTACAGTTCCCCTTACAAGATGACGTCATGACGGATGCATGTGGCATGTAGAAGCAGGGCGCATGAGGGTAATGTGATTGTTGATGTTGTTGCTGAGTTCACTTTAGAAGAATACTTACCCGATGCGTGCCCGACCCCTTCTCCACGCGAGGCGAATCTTTGCATGACCGCTCCGTACGAAACTATCTCATCACCACATATATGCACGAACTGCGCTGCCCTCATCTCCTCCGTGCTTCCCAGGCGCCTGAGAAAGTGGCGATAACCGAGCATTTCGCAGCCTCCCAGGGAGCCGCGAGGTCTCGGCTGAATCCGCATGGTCCCCGAATCTGCTGGACCTCACGAGCGTAGCGGCAGTTGCGTAGTTCGCAGCCACCCAGGGAGCAGCGAGGACTCACATTGGTGCGCGTGGCCCCCGACTGCGCCGTGCCTCCCGGGAGCCCACGGACGTGGTGCCAGCGGTGCAGTTCGCAGCCACCCAGGAAGCCGCGAGGTCTCGCCTGGATCCGCGTACTCTCCCACTCCGCTGGGCCTGCGAGGAGCCCACGAGCGTGGCGACAGTTGCGCAGTTCGCAGCCACCCAGGGAGCAGCGAGGTCTCACATTGGTGCGCGTGTCCCCCGACTCCGCCTTGCCTCCCAGGAACCCACGGACGTGATGCCAGTTGTGCGGTTCGCAGCCACCCAGAGAGCAGCGAGGTCCCGCCTGGGTCCGCGTACTCGCCGACTCCGCTGGACCTCCCAGGAGCCTACGAACGTTTTGCCAGATGCGCAGTTCGCAGCCACCCAGGGAGCAGCGAGGTCTCGTCTGGGTACGGATGCTCCCCGACTCGGCCGTGCCTCCCAGGAGCCCACGGAAGTGGTGACGGTTGCGCATGTCGCAGCCGCGCAGGGAGCAGCGAGGTCCCGTCTGGATTTGCATGCTCGCCGACCCCGCTGGACCTCTCAGGAGCCCACGAACGTGGCGCATTGTTGCGCAGTTCGCAGTCCCCCAGTCAGCTGCCAGGTCCCGTCTGGATCCGCGCACTCCCCGACTCCGCTGGGCCTGCGAGGAGCACACGAAAGTACTGTCAGTTGCGCGGCTCGCAGCCACCCATGGAGCAGCGCCATCCCGTCTGGATCCGTGTGCCCCCTCGCTCCGCTGGACCTGCGAGGAGCCCACGAACGCGGCGACAGTTGCGCAGTTCGCATCCACCCTGGGAGCAGCGAGGTCTCTCAAGTGGGTGCGCGTACTCCCCTCATCCGCCGTGCCTCCCAGGAGCCAGCAACAGTGGCACCAGTTGCGCAGTTCGCAGCCACCCAGGGAGCAGCGAGGTCCCGTCCGGGCCCGCGTGCTCCCGAGTCCGTCGGACATCCCAGGAGCCTGCGAACGTAGGGGCAGTTGCGCGTGTCGCAGCCGCCCGAGGAGCGGCGCATGAGAAGGAGGAGGAGGAGGAGGAGGAGGAGGAGGAGGAGGAGGAGCCTGCGAAAGTAGTGACAGTTGTGCATGTCGCAGCCGCCCGAGGAGCAGCGAGGTCCCGTCTGGATGGGTGCACTCCCCGACTCCTCGCGACCTGCCAGGAGGCCACGAGCGCGGCGCCAGCTGCGCAGTCCGCAGCCACCCAGGGAGCAGCGCATGAGAAGGAGGAGGAGGAGGAGGAGGAGGAGGAGGAGGAGGAGGAGGCAGACTGCAGGAAGAGAGAGGCAGGGGGGAAAAGGGAAGCGGGAGGAAAAGCTGGAGACCACAGTGCTGCATTCAGAATCAGAACCCAAAACACAGGAGGGTTGGGAATCATGGTTGATCCTCTCTGCGCGGTGCCCAGGTGTTTTTTTCAATTGCAGCTCGTTCCCTGTTTTCCTATCAGGGAAGTTCTCGGCCTCAGATTGTGCCCCTGGCCCCTTCTTACATCAACAACAGCAGCTCCCGCTCGATACTTCCCCACCAGTTATTCAAAACTGCGCTCTCGCGCGGAACTGCCTCACAAAGGAACCGCGCCATCGCGCGGGACTTCCCCGCGATCTATCGAGATGCCGCTCCCTCGACACTCAGGAATCACGCTCTCGCTTTCGGCTTCGTCGCGACTTACTTCGGAACCGCGCTGCCGCTCGAGACTCCCTCGCGACTCGTGCAGGACTCACGCTTCAGTGACCCGCCCGCGTGGCCCGGCCCTGGGCCCGCCCGCCCGGCCCGCCCGTTCGGGTCCGCCCGCTCGACCCGCCCGTCTGACTCGGCCGCTCGTCTTCCTGCTCGACCCCCGTGTCCTGCGCATCTCTCTCGTGCTCCACCCTTCTCATTCCCCCCTGTCCCTTCCCTCCTCCCTTCCTTCCATCTTGGGGGCTGCGTCAGCCACACGAGGGGGCAGGTAAGGACGGCATGCCCCCCAAAGGGGGGCCACGATCGAGGGCGAAGAGGGCGGGCATCGAGGGTTCGGGTTCTATACATGCTGAGTGGCACGCGAGCAGGTCAACGAGCGAACAGCCTTGCACTGATTCTTGCTGTTGTTGTTGCTGCCATTCTCGGCCTCTTGGGGCCGTTCCCGGGCCCCGGCGCCATCGGGGGCGCACGCACAAGGCAGGCTCTCGCGTCGCGTCGACGCGGCGCGACCCCGGGTGTTGGCGTTCTCGAGGCTTGAGCGCCGCTTGGTGGCCAGGAGCCGGCCAGGTCACCTGACGGTGTGCACAGTCGGAGAGCCGCGGTTGCTCCAGGTTGAGAGATCCATGCAGTGGGGGCGCGCAGCAAGAGATCACAGCGTCCGGGTATCCTGGGTCTCTTCGCTCCGCGCGCTGCGCGGTGACCTCCCGCAGCCGTTGAAGAAGCCGCTGCGTTCAGGGTGCTCTGGGTTGGCCCTCAGGTGCACCTCGCGCGTGGGTTTTCAGGGTTGGGTTTCTTGCGAGAGTTTCTTGCGGCCGCGCCCGCACTGTACGGTGCCAGACGCAGCAATCAACACGGCACGAGCCTGCCGTACTGAAGCAGATCGCGTTGCCGGACATTTGGAGGAAGGGCGACCGCCGTGTTGTGGAGACTCACGACCCGCCGCAAGCGGCGAACATGCCATGACGAGGACGTCAGCCGGCCTCGCGCTGACGCGCGCCGCGTGGTGTTGCCATCTCGTCAGCCTGGCAGTCCATTGAATGGCATGAGAGGACATATGGGCAGCAACCTCGGCTTAGCGTATGGCCCCGCTGGTTCTACTACCCTCGTCAAAATTAACCTCAAAAGTTGCTGGCACGTCATTTCGATTTCGGCGCGCCCCTCAATGTCGACACGCCGCCCCTTCAATGTCGGGGCCAGGGCAAAGATAGTCTGACCGAAGTTGACTCGAAAGTTTGACGTCGACCGACATTGGAGGGGCGGCGCATGCAAGTACCCCGCACTCATCGATACTCGGCCCCAGATCTTCCGACAAGCAGATCAACCACGTCAGACATTTTTGAGGTTAATTTTGACGAGGGTTGTAGCCTACACTCTAGCCTGGCACGCCGAGCTGGTCGCTGTGCCCAGCCATCCACCATGTTTCTCGAGCTCTTCCCAGCCCCTCCCGTCCCACGAAGCGGAGCAGCGCGCTAATATCAGCTTGCAAGGCCACAGCGGGTCGCGGCGGCGGCCCCCGCGATGCACTGATCAAGCTCTGATCTTCGCAAACGAATGCCCGACAGCGACGTGGGCATACACTTTTGAAGGTCCGCCAGGGTTTCTTGGGTCCGCGCTGGGGCCCGCCCGGAGAAATCCGTTTGCGTCTGTGTATGGTTTTGGTCTTTGTAGTAAGGTCTTCGGAGATGACTCCGACCAAGACTGCATTTACACCTGCCTGGTCGAGGACTGGCATGGCCAGAACCGCGCAATGAGTATTCTGCTGAAGACCCGCGTGAGGTCCCAGAGGCATTTGGCCAAACCAGGAAGACCTGGACCCGGTCCGCAACCGCGTGGTTGTCAACGAAGACGTCGATGGCTGTTCGGCCCCGGCCATCAGCTACAGGGCTTTCCAGGAAGGGCCGCGTCTTCGGCGCATCTTCGCCCTCGGTCGAAGCTGGCGGAAGGCCAGCGGAAGATGGTGGATGTAAACCGTCGGCGGGCCCGTCACGTGTCAATCTTTTTGGGT